GAGGCCTTGTGCGCCCACGCGCCCGCGCGGTTCCAGCGGCGGCCGCAGCCGCAGCCGCCAACGGAGGGGAGCGGCCGCGCCAGCCTCCGCAGAGAGGCGCGCCCGCGCGGACTCCTCCGTCGGTCGACGCTGAGCAGCAGCGGCAGGAGGAGGAGGAGGAGGAGGAGGATCGAGGAGCAGGATCGAGGAGGAGGAGGAGGAGGAGGAGGAGGACAAGTGTTGTGGAGGCCGGTCAATGGAGAGGAAGCATGTTGCCACAGAATTCCCAGACCTCTAAAACATGTGTTGAACATGTTTTAGACCTGTGAAAAAAATCATGTTAAAAATATGTTTACAAAATTTCTCCGGCATTTTAAACGCACTTCAAATTCAATGATAGGACTGTCAGTATGTCCATAGTCGTGGCATCCATAAGACAAGTGTAAGCCCAAGACCCGTCAACGATGTTGGAATACAACCTCCCTCTACTCTCCCCCCTCATAGGCCCCATACAATGATTCATGCCCACTGGTGGAAGTGCCCCGTTAGGCGAAAACCGTGCGAAAATCCTGAAGCGTGCGCCAAAACATCGTTCTCAGGAATTCAACGCCACGGGTCAATCTGATTGTTGCGTTTTGACGATCCTTGCTCGCGCCAGAGCACCATTCCTGGGATTCTAACACCGCACATGAAAGTAACTGTTGCGCCCTGGCCATCCTGAGTCGTTCTAAAAGATCACTGATGCGTTAAGCATCAGAACCTGTAACGTTCTTGTTTGTTCTTGAGAATGTGCGTGGTGCTACGGCGAGAGCCACATTTTGAAAAAAACGAGCCGCCCTCAATCCGTGAAGCTCTTGTACATGTTTTAAACAAGTGTGCGCGGCGCGAAGGCGAGAGTCACATGTTGAAACCAAGCCGCCTTCAATCCGTGTGCAATCGATCGCTGTCTGGCTAGCGTTTCTGAAACTCAGGCCACCGAGTCGGGCAAGGGGGAAGGTGTGAATCTGCCAGCGTCGACTACGCCATGGGCTGGGAATGTCGAAAGATATGCCCAAGCGCACCCTGCCTGCACGGCCCCCGCGGTGGACGATCCAGGAGAGCACGCTCGGTGTCAGAAGCCAACGCCGACGCGTCGAGACATGAACCCGCCGTACCCCCTTCATGGATATGGACGATCTTGAGCCAGGGGAAGACGTGAGTTTGCCTGTGTTCTGAGACTGCCGGCTCCTTGCTGCCTCGGTTCGCATGCAGCCAAGACTGCGAAAGAAGGGGCCATTATGGTGCCTAGGATTAAGTCGGGCCTGTCCCCCTACAGGGGGGATATATTCACAGATAGTACAAAAATAGTCTGGGGACTATTTTTTGACAATTTTTGAGCATGTTGGGTGTATTTTTTGAATTTTTCGTCCAAAATCGGCCTGTAGGGGGACAGGCCCGACTTAAGCCTAGGAGGGGCCCTTCGTCGTCGGACTGCTCGTTGGATCTGGGCTCGCCGAGGCCGGAGGAACCGCTCTGCTCCTTGGTCTGGCTTTCCCCAGGGTGCCACGAGGACTGTACATGGTCGGACCTTCGGATGGCCAGCCGTGCACGCTGGAGCGGAGCAGAGGAGGGCGGCGTGGCCCTTGCGCAAGGCGACACCATCAGAACTCCCTTCCCGCGCTCAGGAGTCCCCTGTTCCCTCCCCTCTCCCCTCTCCCCTCTCCCCTTCCCCTCCCCTCCCTCGTATTTCTTCCCTTCCCTGCCAAGCTGTCCTTACTCCCTGGAGTGGAGGTGCCTCGCCGACCGCGGACTCCGCAGCCGCGCGCTGACGCGCTCAGGCCCCCCTCCTCCCCTCCGCAAGCCCCGCCTGGCTCCAGGCCAAGACGCAGGGCCCGGGCCCCCCTGCCAGCGCGCCGCCGCGTAACTCGCGCGGCCGCCCTGGCAGGCAGCCCGTCGGCGCTCTCGCAGCCATGGCCGCGACCACGGGGTCCCTGTCTGCGCGAGGGCCCAGACCTCCCCGCGGCACGTGGCTCACGCCGCGCCAGCCGGGCGCCGGAGGCGACGCCCTGAAGCTGGCGGCGGCCGGCGTGGTCCACGGGCCCGGCGCCACGTCCGCCCGGGGCCCCAGGCCCAGCGAGGCGATCCTGCCCGCGCCCCGGACCCCAGACGAGACGCCGGAGATGACGCGCAGGCACAGGAAGAGGACCGAGCCCGGGGAGATGTCCGTCCACTGGGGCCTGAAGGGCGCGCAGAAGCCCGAGCCCGGAGAGGGCTACGGCACGAAGGTCACCAAGGGCGAGGGTGTGCACCAGGTTCGGGGGGGCAACGTGGGGTGGTACGGGAGGATCGGCTCGGGGGGAGCCGCGTCGCCCCCCCCAGTCGCCCACTCACCGCCGGTGGGGACTCGATGGCCCACCCCGCCCAGGAGAGGGTGCTCTCGCTATCGGGAGCCTTTCGGCGAGGACTCGATGGCCCACCCTGCCCATTAGAGGGCGCTCTCACTATCGGGAGCCTGTCGGCGATTTCTCGCCGATTCTGGCTCGATGTATCCGCCCCCTGCCTTGCGCCAATCCCCCCTCCAACGTTCCCCTCTCGCAGGTGTTCCAGTCCGGCCTGCTCGTCGGGGTGGCGGAGCACAAGAACGCCGTCCGCGAGGCGGTGTACCAGAGCACCGCCCGGGAGCCGCTCGGCAAGTCCTGGGTGCGCGGCCACACCCTGCCAGCCAAGATATCGGACAGGCAGGGCCGCCTCCTCCGCCTCCTCCTCCTCCTCCTCCTCCTCCTCCTCCTCCTCCTCCTCCTCCTCCTCCTCCTCCTCCTCCTCCTCCTCCTCCTCCTCCTCCTCCTCCTCCTCCTCCTCCTCCTCCCTCCTCCTCCCCCTCCTCCTCCTCCTCCTCTTCCTCCTCCTCCTCCTCCTCCTCCTCCTCCTGTTCTCCTGTTCCTCCTCCTCCTCCTCCTCCTCCCTTTCCTCCTCCTTTCCTCCTCCTCCTCCTTTCCTGCCTCCTCCTCCTCCTCCTCCTCCCTCCTCCTCCTCCTCCTCCTCCTCCTCCCCCTCCTCCTTCGAGTTGGCTCAGCATATGCTGAGCCAAATCGACAGGGACTTCCCTGGCTTCGGCAAGGGCACCGTGCGGAACGAGAACTCGAAGCTGGCGGTGCAGCCCACGGACCTGCCCGCGGACACGGAGGAGCAGAGGGCCCTCTACCGCAAGACGCACGGGAGCGTGGAGCCCGGCGAGCAGCACTGCCGGAACTCCGATGGGAGGAAACTGTATATGGCTGCTCTTCCCCCGGCTTCGCCCTCTGGGGCATCTTATGTCGGAGGCCCTCGTCGCCGCGGCTGGCTTCGCCTCGAGGTTCTGGCCAGAGAGGTCTGCAGGGGCAGCGGCATCGGTCATCTTCTTCTTCGCCCAGGATTAAGTCGGGCCCGTCCCTCTACAGGGGGAATATTCAAAAATAGTTTAAACATAGTCAGGGGACTATTTCTTTTACTATTTTTGAGCATTGGGGGGGTATTTTTTTATTTATCGCCCAAAATCCCCCTGTACGGGGACACGACCGACTTCAGCCCAGGAACTACGCGTACCCCCGGAGCGTGACGGGCAACCCGGGGTTCCGCTTCGGGAACTACGGGAGGGCCGAGGCGGACAAGCACGGCCGCGGGCTGGGCGCGAAGGCCGCGCTGAGCATGGAGACGGGGCAGGAGCCGGGCAGCCTGCCCAGCACCACGATTGTGAAGGCGTCGCTGGACGCCTACCAGAAGGTTCGGCCCTCGACAGAGCCCCTCCTCCTCCTCCTCCTCCTCCTCCTCCTCCTCCTCCTCCTCCTCCTCCTCTTCCCTCCTCCTCCCCCTCCCCCTCCTCCTCCTCCTCCTCCTCCTCCTCCTCCTCCTCCTCTCCTCCTCTCTCCTCCTCTCCTCCTCCTCCTCCTCCTCCTCCTCCTCCTCCTCCTCCTCCTCCTCCTCCTCCTCCTCCTCCTCCCTCTCCTCCTCCTCCTCCTCTCTCCTCCTCCTCTCTCTCCTCCCTCCTCCTCCTCCTCCTCCTCCTCCTCCTCTCTCCTCCTCCTCCTCCCTCTCTCCTACTCCTCCTCCTCCTCCTCCTCCTCCTCTCCTCCTCCTCATCATCTCTCATCATCATCATCATCATCATCTCATCATCATCATCATCATCATCATCATCATCATCATCATCATCATCATCATCATCATCATCCTCATCCTCATCCTCATCCTCATCTTCATCCTCATCCTCATCCTCATCCTCCTTCTCCACCCTGACACGTCGAGTCGTGTCGAAGGGGCCGCGGCCGTCATTTTCCAGGCCTGCGGCCGCCAGGTTTGGACCCGAGGTCGTTTCCACCATTTGAACCGCATTTCGCTAAAGGGGGTTCTGTCCCTCCCCGCAAGGTGGCGCACGACCACCTGGGGGCATCCAGGAGCCTCAAGCAGAACGCGCAGCCGCTGCCGCCGGGCCACGCCTACGGCGCCAAGAGCTTCCGCGACGACGTCAGCGCAGGTGTGCTGATTGGCGGCTTCTACGCGGCAGAGGAGCAGATGCCCGACCACGACCTCGGCAAGTGCACCGTGCCCGGCAGGCGCAACATGCCGACCGACCGCGCCTTCGGGACGCCGTCGGTCCGCCGGGACCTGGCTGCGCCCCCCATCGACAAGCGCTCGGTGGCCAGCACGGCGAACTACGGGGACGACGCCGACGCCTTCGGCCTGATCTTCCCCAACAAGACGGGCCCGGTCGAGGACGCCTTCCACGCCCGCCGCACGAGGGCCGACGTGGAGGACCTCATCACGAGCGCGGGCCTGCAGCTCGAGCCGGCCGAGTTCGACGAGGTCTTCGCCATGGCCCTTGAAATGCAGGGCGATGGCGACGAACGCACTTCGGTCGACACGTTCAAGCATGCTTACGTTGAATGGTCGATCTCCAGCCTCGGCGATATGTGATATCGGCGGGCTCATGGGCTGGATGCCTGAGGCTAGATGCGCTGTTTAATATAACCTTTGACGGTCGTGCAACACGCACATCATCCTGTCACTGCTGCTCACCGCTTTTCCTCTTTCGCGAGAACGCGCAAAGTTACGCAGTAGCTTTGTAAGGTATGGTGGGGGCGAGTGCCTGATCGAAAGCATGATGCGTACGGATTGAACTGCTGCCTGAACGTGTCGCGGTTGTCTGTCTTGTCGATCCCATGCTCTCTGCGATGCCTTTTCATATACGTTGATCGCAGAATGTTCGTGCACCGCCGAACCAGCGGCCGCTTATGACGCTGTATCGCGGCTGCGGGAAGAGCTCGGTTCCCCCCTCCCCTGAGATCCGACGTTGCGAAAAACAGGCAGCAACGCGAAAAATCACAGCCAGAGCCCCAACCCCATCTCTGTGCGGCATTTTTCGAGCCCGATCGATCTATGGATTTCTTTGGGCCCGAAGCCAGGCGAAAACGCTCGGTGTGAAAAACAATCAACGCCCAGACATCAGGGTCCGCCCCCTCGCCCTGCTTCCTTCAGAGCGCACGTCAGCACACCCGAAGAGCGCACGTTAGCACCAGGCCTTGGCGGCGTCGGTGGCCACGCCGCTGCGCAAGAGGCGCCTCCCAGCTCCCATGGAGGAGGGGGAAGGAAGAAGGATGAGGACGGGGAGGAGTAGAAGAAGAAGGAAAGCGGGTAAGAGGAGGAGGAGGAGGAGGAGGAGGAGGAGGAGGAGGAGGAACAGGAGGAACAGGAGGAACAGGAGGAGGAGGAGGAGGAGGAGGAGGAGGAACAGGAGGAACAGGAGGAGGAGGAGGAGGAGGAGGAGGAGGAGGCAGGTCGGCCTCAGAAACCCTCATCAGCTTCTAGGGGGATCTTGGGGTCGGGAGAGCTCTGGGGGCCCAGGGCGTTCAGGGCGTTCCGGAGGCTTTGTGGAAGAGGAGTAGCAAGAGGGCATGAGAGGGCGAGGGGCAGCAGGAGGAGGAGGAGGAGGAGGAGGAGGAGGAGGAGGGGATCCGTGGCCGTTCTGGCTCAAGGCGTTGCCCGGCGAGCAAACGGTGAGCCTGTCCGCCCTTTCCGTCCGAGGCGGCGCCTGCGCGCGGCACCCGCAGGCTTCACGCCATGGCGGCCGCTGGCCGCCTGCGCGGAGCCCGCGATGCCGCAGCGAGCCGAGTGGTGGGCCGCCCGCCCGTGTGGCGGCCCAGCCAGGCCTCGGAAAAAAATAGCGAACACTCATGCCACATTCATCTGTGAACGCCTCCCCCTCCCCCCAATGTTCAAAGTTGGCGGTGGGTCTGATGAGTTGCACCTCGATCGCAGTCTCCCCCGCGCGCGCCAACCTTGAGTCTGGGGGGCAGGGGGGGTGTTCACCAGCGCCAACGCCAACATCTGGAGCCCAAGTGCACAGCGGGCACAGGAAGCCTACCTCTGTGGCCCCTCTGCCCCCGCGGCGCCGGGCACGGCGCCGGCGCCAAGTGGCGTGCGAGGATCGTCATCCAGGACCCCATCCGTCAAGACATCCAGGGCGCCACCAACGCCTCCCCTGTCCTGGAGGGCGCAGCGCACCGGGAGAAGATGTGCGTGTGCGGCGACGCCGCCTTCTTCGACACCGTGAACGTCGACTTCTCAAGCGACCTGCCCTGCTGCGCACTGCCGCCGCTGCTGCCCGGGTGCCACGACGTGTGTGACAGTCCCCCCTCCTCCCTGGCCCTGCAGGGTGGTCGTCCTTCGTGCGGCGTGCCACGCCTCGATGGCCATAACCACGGGTCCCTGGCGGGGCCCGGGCCTTGCAGCGGCTCGGCTCGGGTGGCCTCTGGTCCCGTGTCGGGGCGCCCAGGGCGCCAAGTCACAGTCCAATGGTGGCCACGAGGAGGGCGCCGGCTACGATGAGGACCACGAGGAAGTAACCGAGGAGCACAAGGATGCCAAGCCCCGAGTGGCCGCATGCGAGGGCGTCCGCGGAGGACATGCCTGGGGAAACGGCCATAGGGGGAGCCGCCGCGAGCACGCCTAACGGGCTGGTGCAGGCGAGAGCTCCTAGGGGAGCAAAGGCCAAGGCCACCGTCCAGGGCCATCTAAATGCCAACGCGCGGGAAGAGAAGAGACTGAGGACAGCGCCAACAGCCCGACGGACTCCAGGCCCTCAGGGTCAGGCCACCTCCGTCCTAGGCAACGAGTCCGACTCGTTCGCCTGGTGACCAGGCCCGCCCTGAACGCGTCCGAGAGGGCGCTCGGCGAAGTGGGTCTGGCCACAGCCTTGCCAAAACTGCCGTGCGCGTCAAAGAGGACAACCTCGAGCTTGCCGTGCGCTCGCAGAAGATCCTATATGGGGAATCTAGGCTCTTTGCGAGGCTCACATATTTGAATGCTGCAAAATATCCGCCAACGATTATGTTTCTTTACCAGTATGGGGAAGAGGCAACAAGTGCGGCGGCATCGAGCAGCTTCTCGTCGACACGGCCACCAGCAAGGCCTTCTTCGAGGGCACCGATGCCGCGCAGCTGCCATCAGCAGCCATGTTGTTCACCGGCGGTGAGCCGCCACTGATAGAAACGACGGCCGCAGGCCTGGGATTCTCGAGTGCCCCCCCCCGCTGCCCAGCCACCCTTCGCAAGCTGGCCAGTTAGCCACAGACAGGGGCGCGAAGACAACGTTCGTTCCCCGCGCCGCGCGCGAAGACCATCGCGCACCCTCTCCCGGTGCCCTCCCGGGGAGGCAGCGCGCGCGTCTCGGCATCGCTTCTGCCGCTCACCGCCGTCATGCCCCGACGACGGGCGCAGCATCCCCTCTCCCCCTGCTCGTCTTCCTTACTGAGCAAGTTTCGTTCCTCTCCCTCCCGCTCGCCCACCCGCGCCGCGGAGGCCGCCCACCCGCGCCGCTCAGACCACGGGGGTTGGCGCTGGACCCGAAGGCAACATACAAAAAGCACTGCGGCGGGACGGAGGCACGCTGGGCGCGAGCCGCCAGGCCCCCCTGGGACCCTGGAGGGCCCGGGCCGCGCGCGGCCGCCTGCCTGTGGGAGGAGGCACGCGCCTGGCGCCGGGAGGCGGCGGCGGGTGACTCCACAGGGGCGGAGGCAGGGGGTGCCGCAAGGCTCTCGACGAGGGCCGCCACAGTCCTCTCGCTCGAGCCCCACGCGCATGTTTCCCGCTCGCCCCTCCCCTCGCTTCCGCCGCGCGGGTGCGGCCCCTCAGTGGGGGCCGGGATGACGGCTGGGGGGTCTGGTTTGGGACGGCCTGGGGCGAGGGAGAGGGCTTCGCCGGCGCAAGCTGCCAACCAGCCGCGCGTCGGCACCCGCCCGCGCATGCCCGCCTGCCACTTCGATTGCCCTTCCTTCGCCATCCACCCTTCCATCAGAATTTCAGGTTCCCGGAAGGCCGTCCGGGAGCCTCAAGCGGCGCCCGCGCTTTGAGGCGCTCGACCCTGCGTCGCAGCAGGAGCAGGAGCAGCAGCAGCAGTTGTCTCAGGGCGCGCCGCTGTCTCAAGACGCCCAGGTGCGAGGAGCGTCGCAACAGGAGCAGCTCAAGACGCATAATGAGCCATCTCAAGACGCACAGCTGCGAGAAGCGTCGCGAGGAAAGCCACCGCCGCGGAAGACTCAAGCCCTCCCCGCGCTCGGTTAACCCCCCCGGGCAACCCCCAGGCCGACGTTTTGGGAACCTTTCGCCTGCTTGCAGGCGAGGGTTCCCGACGCTGGTCCGGGGGGCGCCCGTGGGGGGCTCCTGCGAGCACGGGGGAAAAGGCCTCTGCTCCTTCCGCTATGGCGAGAATGGCCCCGGCATGCCGCCGCTGCCACTTCCTCCTCTTCCTTTCTTCGAGAGTATGATCTCACCGAGCGCGTCCCACTACTCGCGAAGTGCCTACTCGGTCTCCTGCCCTTTTTCTCGCTGCCGTCTGCTGTCCTTTTACCTTGTGCTGTTTACCCCAGCTGGCGTTATGTCGGGCGTGTCCCCCTACAGGGGGATTTTGGACGAAAAATAAAAGATACCCCAAACATACAAAAAAATAATAATCCGGTAACACTCCAAAAATAGTCCCCAGACTGTTTTCGGATTATTTTTGGATTATTTTGCGGGTATGTTTAATTTTTCCTCGAAAATCCCCCTGTAGGGTGACAGGCCCGACATAAAGCTGGCGACTCCTCGGGCGATGGCTCCAGGAGTCGCCCAGCTCTTAGTCTGATCCCCCCAGGGACCGACTGGCCCTGTGGGGGGGGGCGGGGGGCAACATCCGCTGGATTGTTTCATGCCATTAGGCACATGAGTGACAAAAGATGAGGAGGAGGAGCTGGAGGAGGAGGTGTAGGAGGAGGTGGAGGAGGAGGAGGAGGAGGTGGAGGAGAAGGAGGAGAAGGAGGAGGAGGAGGAGGAGAGGAGGAGGAGGAGGTGGAGGAGGAGGAGGTGGAGGAGGAGGAGGAGGTGGAGGAGGAGGAGGAGGAGGAGGAAGAGGCTTGGCCTGGGTTGGCCCTAAAGGCTGATGCAAAAACTTACTCAGAATCGGACCCCCCCTGAAAGTTGGGGTCCGCGGAGGCTGAAGGAGGAGAAGGAGGAGGAGGAGGAGTAGGAGGGCAAGGAGGAGGGCAAGGAGCGCGAGGGGGGATGATGGGGAATGGGAGGATGGGGAGGAGGAGGAGGGGTGATGGGGAGAAGGAGGGCAACGAGGAGGGGGGGGAAACGAGGAAGGAGGGGGAGGAGAGGAGGACATAAAGTAGGACAGGGAGGAGGTGGAGAACGGGGAGGAGACTGGAGATGCGGGGGGTGGAAATGTCAGGGTCATTGTGCAAGGAAAGGAAAGCAAATGTGAGGCAAGGCGAGGAGAGGTCAGGGCTTGGTGAGAAGGGGAAGGGGGAGGCAGACGGGAAAGGGGAATGGGAGAGCAAAGGGAATGGGCACGGTGGTGGCGCTCGTTAAGGAAAGTGCCAGGGTGCCTCAGCCTATGGAGGATCCCTTATCTGATGAGGGCGGTGGTGGTATCCATGGCCGGTCCACTATCGGAGTTTCACCGGCTTCCAGATCCTGGATCCTTTATTTTGGGGTTTCTTCTCTGTTGCCCCCCCGTATGTATCAGGATGGACTCGGCGGCGAGCGAGGGGGGAATCGAGAAGAAGAGGGCCAGAAGGCGGCGGGGCTTCTCAGAAGCCCTCCGGCCTCCTGAGGAGGAGGAAGAGAGAGGGAGGAGGAGGAGGAGGAGGAGGAGGAGGAGGAGAAGGAGGAGGAGGAGGAGGAGGAGGAGGAGGAAGAGGAGGAGGAAGAGGAGGAGGAGGAGGAGGAGGAGCAGGAGGAGGAGGAGGAAGGATTACAGGTGTCTTCGCGGAAGGCCGCGAAGACTTTCCGAAGGCCAGAGGGCTTCCGAGCCTTCCGACAAGGCCCGCCCCCTCGCGCTCCCCCCTCCCGGGCTGACCGCTGAGGGACGGCGGGGAGCGGGGCAGAGGCCCGTCGGCGGGCATCTCTGCTCAACATCGCGGTGCACTGTCGTTCCACCACTGCATCCAGGCGCCTGCCACCATGATGTTCAGCAGCTGGTTGCGCCGACGGTGCAGCGCAGCACTGAAGTCTGTTCGGGGAAGTTCTGCCGATCTCTCCCGATCAAGTTCGGTAGAGCCCCATTTGGGCCGCTCGGGAAGCATCGCTGCGATGTTGTAGCGCCAGACGGTTGTCATGTTACATGGAAGTTGCTCTGCCTCTTGGAGGCTTTTTGAAGGCTCCTTTGGGGTGCCTTCTGGTCCTCTTCAGGCGGGAGGGTGATCATTTGGATGTTTGCTGTGTGTGTGTGCTGCTGGGTGTGAGATAGCGATCAGGATGGCAGGACGGCGATGGCGATGACGGCAGCGGCGATGGGCTGCAGTAACATGTCGAGGGCCGGCGCCAACAATGGCGGGACGACATTCTGGCGAGACCCCCCAAACGAAACGTGCAGAAAACCTCGTGGGCCCGGTGGGCGAGGTCGCAGGCTCCCGTGCACGGGTGGGGGGGACGCTTCCCCCGCGTCCGAATCCACCGGGCGCTAACGAACGTCTCGTCGTGCGCGCGGGGGGGGGGGGCGCCGCGGTGTTCTGCTCCGCTCCGCTGGCGCGGGCCAGCGCAACGGCGGGGACCAGCTTTCCCCGATGGTGTCGACGACGCATGCGGCGAACCACCGCCGCCCCTTGTCTTTCGGAAACCCCTCTGCGGCCAAACGTTTGGGCCAAAACTCGGCCAAGCTATTGGACTACGTGTGCTCCCCGTCGTTGTGGAACCTCCTGCGGAGACACTTCGGAGAAGAAGAGAGGGGAGTTAGGAGCAGAAGGAGGAAGAGGAAGAGGAGCATGATGCTAAGGGAGGGGAGGCTTCTGGGGGGCCTCATAGAGCCTCCTGGGGCTTCCTGGGAGCCTTTTTGGGGGGCCGCTAAGGGGCCTTTGGGGGGCCTCTTGGAGGCTCCTGGGGGCTTCCCGGGAACCTCCTGGAGGGCATCTAAGGAAATTTGGAGGCCGTCTTGGGGAACCTTCTGGGGTCGTCTTGGGGGCCGTCTTGGGGCCCTCTTGGGGCCGTCTTGGGGGCCGTCTTGGGGCCCTCTGGGCCCGTCTTGGGGCCTCTTGGGGGCTCCTGGGACCGTCTTTGGGCTGTCTTGAAAGCCTCTGGGGCCGTCTTCGGCTGTCGAAAGCCCGAGGTAGCGAGAAGGCAACAACTATTGACAACCCGAATAATAATCATTGCTTTTGGCATCCTAGAGGTCCTCTTGGGGCCCTCGTGGGGGTTGGGGGCCTCGTTCGCCGTCTGGAGGGTATCTTGGGCCGTCTTGGAATCATCTTAGGCCGTCTTGGTGGCAGCCTGTGCCGTCTTGGGTACATGTTGGTCGTCTTAGAGGCGTCCTGGGACTATCATGGAGGCCATCTTGGGTCAACTTGTCCGTCTTGGGAGCCCTCTGGGAGGGAGAAAGACGTTGGGAGCCGTGCTTTACTGCATCAGCGCTGTCGCACGGCTGGTTGGATCGGCCCATCCACGGCGGCGGAAATAGCCAATCGGTGTGGTGACTCGAAAATTTCGCCACATTTAAGAGTTCACACACGGGGGTCACCTGGAATTGCTTCTGCGCGCTAGAAGGAATTCATGTCGGACCAGACAACCCTCATCTGGTGCGCTTCATCCGTTGAGTGAGTTTTTGATATGGGAAGCCTGACCTTCCATGTTTCTACGGCTTCCGCGCGCTTCGAGCCAGGAAGGTAATCTTGAAATAGATTGGATTCGCTCTTCCATCCTCCTGCTCAGCTTCCTCATCCTCCTCCTGCCTACCCCTCCTCCTCCTCCCTCCTCCTCCTCCTCCTCCTCCTCCTCCTCCTCCTCCTCCTCCTCCTCCTCCCCTCCTCCTCCTCCTCCTCCTCCTCCTCCCCTTCCCCTGCCTCCAGGGAGGCCAGGACTGATGTGTTCGAGTGGCGGCTGTGGGCACGCCGAGCCGAAGTTGTCACACAGCCCCTGCCAAGAGATGCCCTCTTCCAAGTAATTGCTCTTCGACCGTCGACAGTACGAATAGAGCGAACGGGACGCTCAAGGGCACCCATACTGGCTCGAAGATGCGCCTCTGGCTCGGCACTTCTCGAGATTGTCTGTCTCTGCCATGGGCTGTGCGTTCAGCCGAAGCTGCCGAGCACACGGGTCGAACTGGCAGAGCTCGTCGTGCACACGATGCGCCCCGCAGCGGCGGCCTGTGCCCTCAGCTTGCACGGTATTTTACCTCAGAGTTCACCGGCACTCGCCTTCCGTCCATTGGCACACCGTGCGTGCAGTTCCGAGGAGCGTAGGACGATAGACAGCCCTGCTGATGCGCTAACAGTGGAGCACAGAGCGAAGACATAGCAGACGTGTGTTGTCTGAGTTTGTCTAGTGTAGCTGTGTTTTCCGATGACGCCCCCGATACATATGGCACGAGCATTCGTCGAGTTATCAGTGGTGCATCTAGAGCGTGTACGAGCACGGATCTCACGCGCAGTGTTGCGCGGGCAATGCGCAGCATTGCGATGACCTTGGCGTCCTCCTGCGCTGCCTGCTTTAGCCCACAGGTGCCACAATATGATAGTGATTTTGGCAAGGGAGACGGGGGGATTGTAGGTGGGAGAGAGGATGAGGGAGGATGAGGGAGGATGAGGGAGAGTTGGAGGGAGGGAGGGAGGACGAGGAGGGGTAAGAGGAGGGGTACCAGGAGGAGGAGGAGGCGGAGGAGAAGGGGGAAAAGGAGGAGGAGGAGGAGCAGGGGGAGGAGGAGGAGGAGGTGGAGGGGGAGGAGGTGGAGGAGGAGAAAGGGGAGGAGGGAACACGGGGGAAGAACCCGCCTCCCTGCGAGCACTGTGCGCATTCGCATCGCCGCCGCCGCGCTGCACGGTGCCTGCCCAGCGCGCGGTCGCTCCACCGTGAGCAGCGGCAGAGCACTGCGCACGGCACCGGGGAGCAGCAAGAGCAGGGATGAGCGCTACGGTCAGCGTGTCACTCCGCCGGCTCTGGCCCACCACGTCTCGACGTGGCACGCTGCCCGTTTCCCGGTCCCCAGGCGCCAGCGTCCCGAGTTGTCGCCCCATCTTCCCGCCAGCGGCGGGACGACGCACCATCCGCTTGCAGGGCACAGCGTGTCGCCGGAGCCTCCACAGCGACACGCTAAGCAAGAGTTCCCGGCCGTGGCTTATGCGGAGTATTGCGCACGGGGGGGAGGAGCAGCAGCAGGCATCAGCAGGAGTAGGGATTCAGAGGAGGAGGAGGAGGAGGAGGAGGAGGAGGAGAAGGAGGAGGAAGATTGTCATCGCCAGGGGTGCAGCGGCACCTGTCTAGCGCACTCGCTCGTCGAGCAGGGTTGGCTGTGCGGTTGTCGGCCCCGCCTGGCCTGCTGACGCGCTGCCGAGCGTAGGGACGCAAGCGTTGGCGGGGCACCTCCAGGCATTCCGAGCCCACCGCGGCAGAGGAGGCGCTGCTGCGGCAGATCACGCCTGTGAAGCTCGCGAAGGCCGTGGCCCCTTCTCTTCGAGGTCAGAGGAGGAGGAGGAGGAGGAGGAGGAGGAGGAGGAGGGGGAGGAGGAGGAGGCCGTCACAGCCACCAGCCCCAGAGAGTGTCTGGAGGGTTCCTGGAGGGGATCCGAAGGACCACTGTTTTAGGGGCGTGCCAAGAGAGGACCCTCTCGCCTTGACCATCGCAATGCCTTCTTGAGTTGCTGCTCGCTTCTCTTCGGTTTTAGCGAAGGCCATGTTGCTTCATTCATTTCCGTCTGCTTGTTGAGGATGAGGGAAGGCGGGAGTGGTAGGAGTGGGAGGAGGAGGAGGACGAGGAGGAGGAGGAGGAGAAGGAGGAGCATGATGCTGCTGCTGCGAATGAGCAGTATGAGATGGAGGCGTAGGAGGATAAGGAGGAGAAGGATGGTGATGCTGATGCTGATGGTGATGGTGATGGTGATGATGAGGAGGATGATGAGGAGGAGGATGAGAAGGATTGGGAGGATAATGAGGATGAGGAGGATGATGAGGATGACGATGATGCTGGTGATGACGGTTATGATGCTGTTGCTGATGATGATGATGGTGGTGATGTTGATGTCAATGTTGATGCTATCGTTTCTGATTGTGATGATGACGATGATGATGCTGCTTCTGATGAGGATGATGAGGATGAGGGTGAGGAGGAGTATGATGAGTATGCTGCTGATCATGATGCTGATGATGATGATGAAGTTGGTGTCGATACTGCTGGTGTTGATGATGAAGTCGCTGATGAAGATGATGATGATGATGATGATGATGATGATGATGATGATGATGATGATGATGTTAAGACTGATGCTGTTGCTGATGCCGGTGATGATGCTGCTGATGTTTATGCTGATCCTAATGGTGATGACGATGATGATGATGATGATGCTGATGATGATTACGACGATTATGACGATGATGTTAATGGAATGATAGTCATGATGATTATAATGCTGATGATGCTGATGATGATGGTGGTGGTGATGATGATGCAGGTGACGATTATGATGGTGGTGGTGGTGTTAAAAGTGAAGATGATGATGATGATGATGATGATGATGATGATGATGATGATGATGATGATGATGATGCTACTGATACTGATACTAGTACTGATTCTGATACTGATACTGATACTGATATTGATACTGATACTGATGATGATGCTGATGATGCTGATGATCATGATGCTGCTGCTGACGATGATTATGATGCTGCTGATGATGATGGTGGTGATGATGATGGTAATGGTGATGGTGATGATGATGCTGCTGATGATGATGATGATGGTGAGGAGGATGATGACGCTGATGATGATGGTGGTGGTGGTGGTGGCCATGATGATGAACTAACTCGTGTCCGGGAGCACGGCGGGGGAACAGCGGCAAGCGCGACGGCGACTTTCGAAGCTGCTTGGGCTGGTTAGAGGCAGCCTGCCTCCCCCCGCACACGCGAGCACCGCACGCGCGCGGGGCCGCCGCCCGGTGGCCTCGCGGATCGCGAGGAGGGCCGCCGCTCGAGAGACCCGAATCCTGGGGCCCGCCCTGCGGGGTGCAGGCCCCCCGTGCAAGAGGGGAGGGGTGACCTGCCTACTCACCACCCACCAAACCACCCCAACCCAACCCGAAGGCTCCGATTTGCCCTCCATTTCCAGTGTGGGGGGGTCGGGGAACATTGAAAAAACACGTATGGAACCCGTACCCTCCCCAACCCGAAAGTCGGGTCTTCGGGTTGGGTTGGGGTGGTCTGGTAGGTAGTCACCTACGGGGTTCCCGCGCGGGTAGCAGGCGTGGGCACGCCGCGCTTTCACCCCCTCCTGGCCCTGCAGAAAGGCCCAGTCCTCATAGCTGCGGTCTCCTTGCAGCAGAGGGCTCGTTTGCCAGTTCATGTAGAAAACAAGAAGCTGTGCAAAACGCACAGTGGACATCAAGAACATGCGCAACACAAAACGGCACAAACATGTCGATTCACATTTTCCGGTGGAAACTCAATGGAGCTTGTGTCGACAATTAGCGCTACAACAAGTGCTCCCTCAATTCGCACAACTGGGCATATATTTGTGTTGCGCACTTCGTTTTTGTGTGCTTGTGTTTTTGTGTCGCTTTTTGTTTGTGGATTCTGCTACAGGGGATCCTAGTCGTGACGGTCCCCCCACTTAGGGGCAAGGGTCGGATTGCGCGCGGCCCCGCGGGGGTCACCCAGGCGACATGAAGCGGTTTGCCTCCGCCAACCCCACGCGGGAGGCGCTGGAGCGAAGCCAGCTGCCGTCACGAGCAAAGAGGCGGGCGCGGCGACACACGGCTCCGCAGGGGCGGAGGCACCTCCGACGACGGCGAAACGCAAGACCCGCCAGCGAAGGAAGAGGGCCAAGTCTGCTGAGCCGCAACTTCGGCGCCACCATCGAGGATGGCATCGGGGCGCGCCCGAGGCTGCATTGGCCAAGCTTCCCTGCCATGGAGAAAGAAGGGGTGATCCGGACCGACGGTGACCTAGTGGATCTCGTGGAACTCCTCCGCCCCGAAAAAGCCTAACGGCTTCTGGTTTGCAGAAGGAACGGGGCGGCGGACATCGCCTGAGCAGCGTTCGCCCACGCTTAGGGCGGCAATTCCCCGAGAGCGGCCTACGGCGGACCCGCGGGAGGTTCAAGGGTGCGACGCCATCACTCTCGAGCATTGGAAGGAAGACAGGCTTCGGCCCCCGCCATGCCAGTACCGACCCCAGTACCGAATCGAGCAGACCCACTTCAACGTAGAATTCAGCGGCGTCTCGAGAGCCACCGTAGCCGCCATCTGTAGCCCAGTCGCGATGGCCTCGGAGCGCGAGATATTCATGGTCCACTGGCCAGGGCATGCGCTCGGGGGGAAACGCGGGCTTGACAAGCTTCATGGTCGGGCGGCTCGTTCGCTGAAGAGCGAACGCTGCTCTCAGCTTGGGAATGCGTTCCACGTGGGCGCGACGGCGCAGCCAGCAGGGCAAGGGCCGTTCAGTGCCGAGCTGCTCGCGAGCCCGCCCGCGCCCAAGGCCGCCCACGATTGCGTTGCACAGGTGCGCCGCCCAGCGGGAGGACTTCCTGCTGGGCCAGCAGCGCCTGGATCGCGAGCTGCTTGCCACGCAGCTGTCCGGAGCAGTGGCGCAGCCGCCCTCTTCCCAGAGCTCCGATGCGTTGATGGGCAGCCTCGGGCTGGAGCTCTTCAGCAGGGCCGATCATTGAGGCGGCGACGTTCGGCTCGACCCTGGCGCGCCGCGCCGCTGCATCGCCTGGCCGCGGGGTCGGCGAGGCGGCGCTGGGCGCGGCAGCGCGCGGTGGCCACGCAGTTCCAAAGGTGTGGTCGCACCAGCAAGTTGGAGCTGAAATGGTGCGCGGCGCGCTGTGTTGGAGGATGCGCAATTTCCAGGCCCTCGGCTCGAGGGCGCGCACGTTTGCGGACTCGCTCGCGATGGTCGCCGTCGCCCCGAAGCGCCGCTCGTCTTCGCGCAAATCGACGCCGTGCTCTGTTGCCTGAATGCCCTCTGCCGCGCGACCTTCGCGACCCGTTCTTCTTCTTCACGCGCGCCCGCGCGGCGGGCGATCCCGCCGACGCCCTCGGCCGAGCGCCGCGGGTCTAAAGAGGCCGAGAGATGGAAGCGCCGTTGGCGCGAAGGGGGTGCGAAAAGCAGTGTGGGCATATTTGTGTGTATGTATATGCACATACATATGCATATATATATATATATATATATATATATATATATATCTATATATATATACACAAGATGACATTGGCGCTTCGCGCCATGCACCTTGCCCCCCGCGAGTTCGACCGCAGGCTGCGCGCGCGCGGGCGCAGGGCTGGCCGCCGCCAAGTCGGAGCGGGTCAGGATCTCCTAAGCGGGAGCGGCTTGACAACGCCAGCTCTGGCCAGCTCAGGGCGTTTCTGCGCCCAGAGGCGCGAGTAAGTCTCAGGCGACTGGTTGGGGTGGCATGGGGCAGGGCATCCTCCTCCTTCTCCTCCTGCTCTTCCCCGCATTCCCCCCCTCTTTCTCCTCTTCATCTTCAGCTCCAAGACGTCTCCAACTGAGTCCCCTGGCGAGACCCAAAGAGGTCCAAGGCTGGCGCAACAGGGCCCAGAGAGTGGGACAAGCAGAGAAAACGCAATAGAAGAGCAATGTTTTCGGCCTTCCCGTTCGTTGACTTCTGGCTGACTCGGGGCGCCCAGACGACCCCGGGGCGGCCGCAGGGAGGCGCAAGACAGGCCCGAGGATTCGAATGTCTTTCGGGGGAGGGCGGGGGGGCGGGGGGCACCCCCCAGCCCCATGGGGCCCGGAGAGGGAGGCCCAGAGAGAAAATGATGGGTCATGCAAGGTTTTTGGCCTTCTCGCCTTGTCGCTTCCGATTGGCTCTCGAGGCGTCCAGACGCCTCCAAGACGGTTCCAGACGAGGCCCCAGACGAGCCCCGAAGAGGCCCGAGGCTGGCGCAACAGGGCCCGGAGAATGGGACAAGCAAAGAAAACGGAGTCAGAAAACAATGCTCTCGGCCTGAGATGGCCGCATCACGGCGCAAGACAGGCCTAGGGAGGCGAAATTCGCTTGGGGGGGGGGCGCTGGGTCGCGGGTTCCCCGGCCTTGCGCAAATATATCGATGGGAATATTGGCAGACTGGGCGGCGCAATATCCCCGCTGAGCACGCGCAGCATCAGCGCTCAGAGCCCGCTGCCACATTCTTGATTGGGCGCGCGGCAAGCCCCGCAGACCAGTAACGCATGACCTCAGCTGGATCAGCTGGGCCCTGAATGCGTCGAGCATCTTTTGGGCGAGGGAGAGCCCACAGGATGGGCCGCTCGCGCCCTCGCCGCCGCGCCGCGCCGCGCCCCGGGGGCCCGGCGCCGCGCGCCTGCGGCAGGGCGCTTCAAGTCGGCACGGGGCATGCTGGAGCTGCCAGAGCGGGCGCCGCCGATGACGCCGGGGGCGGCTCCGGCGGAGGCCGGCGCGAGGCTTGGCGCGGG